AAAAGACTGGTAAACAACGGAATCACATCATTTTTTTGCCTCAATGTATGGAATGGATGGATCTCTGTAAATAGGTAAATCATCTTCCCCATGCACAATGATTTCCTGATGGTTGTGTTCAAACTTAACAACTTGATGTAGAGTTGATGGGACTGCCCGAGCCATGTGGATCCATGGCCTTCCCAAAAGAAAATTTAAGACGTGTCCATGCCTATTACTTGGAACACAATCATAAAGTCTACCGGTCCAATTGTCATGTTTAACTTGATTTCACCAATGGTATCCCGCCTTAAGCCGTCATAAGCTCGAACAAATACATTGCTGGGGCGAATTCTGTCGAGGCTAATTTTCAAGCTTTGCAGCATGGAGAGAGGACATATGTCTACCCCTGATCCCCCATCTATCATGACCCTCTTTACATAGTACCCTTCACATTTCACTGTAAGAAGCAAAGCTCTGTTGTGTCCGGCTCCCTCCTGGGCAACTCATCAGTGAAAGTGATGGTGTTTCATCAAAGATGCGCTTGGCCATTTTCTCTAACTGATTTATCGTGGTCTCCTTCGATACATGTGCTTCATTTAAAATCTTATTCAACACACGTCGATGTTCTTTTAAGTGCAAGAGTAGAGACAACAATGAAATCTGTGCAGGAGTTTTCTTCAATTGTTCCACAACAGAGTAATCTGGAACCTTAATCTTTTTTAGAAACTCTTCTGCTTCTTCCTCAGTAACTACTTTCTTCAGTGGTACTTGGATGTTTTGAGTCATCTTCCCTTTTCTTATTAGTTCTGGGGAATAGCATCTTCCAGAGCGTGTCAGCCCTCTTGCTTCATCAACCTCTTCAACAATCTCCTTTCCTCGGTAAACCACATCGATTTTGTTATAGTTCCAAGGGACAGCCTTTGAATCAGTTACCGGAAGCTGTTGAACGGGCTTAACAAAAATAGGTCCTTTCAACTTTGTTAAGCAATTTTGGTCCTGTTGTGTTAATGAAAAACCCTTTGATACATACAACTTCGGCATACCTGCTCGAACTTCAATCCCCTTCGAAAGCCCGGGACACACAAAACTTTGGTATCAAGGTTGACACATTCCACACTCAAAGATGCAACTGGTTCTAAACTCTTTATTGACTTGTTTTCCTCTCCGATCATCCTAAACAACTTTCCCATTTTGCCAAGGAGTTTGTACTCTTGATCATCGCAGATCATACCCACTAAATTGTTTTGAGTTGGAAGTAGGTTATTAGTCACATTTGGAGTGTTTTGATCATCTGTCACAACGACCACTCCATGATCGATTAGCTTCTCTATCGCCCCCTTCAAGGTCCAACAATTATCAGTGCTTTGTCCTGGTGTCCCTGAATGATACTCACATCTTTCATTGGCTTGGAAACCTGGAGCAGTTGGATTCAGACGATGTGGTGGGATAGACCCAATCACTCCTATCTTTGTTACTTTTGAAACAAGCTGGAGTATGACTTTCCCAATGGAGTGAATTTCTTTTCTGTCCCTGATCTTGAGCATAATTTTGCATAGGAGGAGGGTTGTAAGGGACCTGATAGGGTGGTCGTTGTGGGCGAAGGTTTCCTTGAGTTGGCCCCCGAAAATGTGGGCGATTGGGAGAATGCACATATGACTGAGCATTGAAGACCATGTATGGAGATGGAGATACTGGATATTGAAGGACATAAGGGTAGTAATGTTGAGGATAGCTAGATTGTCCCTGAAGTGGTGGGTAAGGACAATTAGAATTCCTTTGAGCACCCCTTGACCCTGATGCTAGCGAAGAAACTTCCTCTTTTCTTTTACGATTTCCAAAACTTCCTGAACCACCTTGAATGGCCTGTGTGGTAGCTTTGATTGCTGCCTAGCTCACAATCCTTCCTGTTTTGAGACCACTTTCGACCATTTCTCCAATTTTGATTGTTGTGTGAAACGGTCTTCCCATTGCATTTGTCAGGTGGTGGAAGTAGTCAGGATCTTGAGCCTCTATGAAGATATCAACCAATTCTTGCTCATGTAATGGCGTCTTGACCCGGGCTGCTTGTTCCCTCCATTTGATAGCATACTCTCTAAAGCTTTCATTTGGCTTCTTTCTCATATTAGAAAGTGTATTGCGATCTGGCATAATGTTGATATTGTACTGAAATTTTCTAACAAAATCTTGAGCCATATCTTCCCAGATGTGCCAATGGGAGATATCTTGGTCTATAAACCATTCTGAGGCAACACCAGTCAGGCTCTCACCAAAATAAGCCATGAGCAGTTCCTCTTTACCCCCTGCACCTCTAAGTTGATTGCAATATCTCTTGAGGTGAGCTATGGGATCACCGTTCCCGTCATACTTATCAAACTTAGGGGTTTTGAATCCAGGTGGCAGGTGGACATTTGGGAACATACACAAGTCTTTGAACGCGACACTTTTGTGCCCTCCTAGCCCTTGCATACTTTTCATGTGTTGCTCGATGCTTTTCATTCTCTTCAACATTTCCTCTTTCTCTGAGCCTTGAGTGGGCCTCTCAACATCAATAGGGGAGCCGAATTGTACAAAGTTAGGGCCCCTGAATGCTATCCCAGGAGTATAGTATTGCTTTGGATGGACGGTGAACTGTCCCTCTTAAGCTGCTCTCTGCGTCACAGTTGGTTGTGGGAGAGTATAGACCGGTGCAGCTGTCGCGACAGTGGGATTATTCCTGAATGGCATGCCTTGAGGGCGTGTTGTTGATGGTCCGGCCCCACAATTATCAAATGGACCATACCCCGGAGGAAAGAAAGGATCTGATATCGGGACCTGAGAAGATGAAGATCGGATACTAGTGATCTTAGGAAAACCGGGAATAGACGTTGGTGGTTCTTGGCCATTGGCCCAGGCTTGCCACAATTGTGCCATAACATGTCTCAATGTCCGATTTTCTTCAATAGTGACTGACTCTCTTGTCGTTGAATCAACTAGAGTATCTACTGGGTTCACCACAGTTTCAGTATTGCTTGTCATTGACGCTCTTACCTTAGACCTGGTAAAGTACGGGTGTTCTCACAGTTTACCACAAACCAACCACTGAAAGCTTACTAAACTAAAGAGAAATGAACAAACTTATTAGGGGTTAGACATCAATTACATATTTGTTAATCACATAGTACATAAACCAAGAAGGCCATTGTCTCATCCCAGCTTTGTTTCACTTATTGTCTTCCCTTTATTTTATTTTTATTTTTTTTTAAAAAAAAGTTTTGATCGAACCCTTTGGAGGTTGCCTACGCATCATGTCGCCGCATGAATCAGATCATTACGTAGTTCAAAAATTTAGACCACTCAACAACATTAATTTAGACAAGCAAAGTCCAACCCTTTCATTCATTTCAAAAAAAACTTTAAGCAAAACGACAAGATCAATAGGTTTAAACACAACCATGATCAACATTATCTCTTTGAACACCGAACTTTAAACTGAAACACTGAGTCTTAAACAAAACAAGATAAAACAAACAAACAAACTAACTAAACAACTAAACTCTTCTTCAATCTTCATCATCTTCCTTGGGCTTTCTATGTCCTCCTAAGGTCACGTACAGATTCAACAACACCTTCGGCAGATGGGGAACAATGGCCCGTGCTTGCTCAGCCACTTCTGGATCATTCATGCGACGATGATTTTTAATAACATAGGAGGTTTGTTCCGCCAGCTGATGAACTTGACGCCTAGCCTTTCCCATATTTTCATAGCAGTTATTCAACCAAACCTGATGATCATCAAGATTGTTCCTTAAGAGGGCCTCTCGCTCCTCTGCTACTTCAAGTTAATGGCGAAGTGTTGCTCTCTCAATGATCATTTGTCTTTTCCCCTCTTCGATATAGACACACTGACTGATTTTTCTTTTATGTTCTTCTAACTCTGCTTTAAGCTGATTATGTAAATGCATCCAACATGACCTTTCTTTCTCAAATTTCTCCTTCTGCCGCTTAAGTTCTCCTCTTTGGTAGTTCACGACCTCTTCAGATGCCACTAAGTCCATCTTCAATCGAGAAATTTCAAAACTCTGCTCTTTTTTTATTTGTCGGGCCAAGTGAATTCTACTATCCAACTCTTCCTCTAGACGGGCTAATTTCCCCTCTGCATGTTTCAATTCCCCTTCCGTATCTTGTAACTCCAACTGAATATTTCTTCCTCTTTGGACTTGAACTTCTTGCCGGGCAATGGTGGTTTTGGCCTTCTCCAACTCTTTTTCCAACTGTCTTATGATGTGCTGGTCTTTTCTTTTTCTGCTGGATCCTTCAGGAATGTCATTAAATGTTGTTGGATCACGAAACCACGATAAGTACCAGGCACCACTTTTCCTTTATCTTGCTCCACCACCATTTCACTTAGCTCAGAAATTATACTCCCAAACCAGATCTTCAGAATATTAGTTCTATCAAAGGCAAAACCTGGCGGGGTGTCAAATACAAATCTACTCATATCATCATTTGGTGGGATTTCTTGTACTCTAGCCAGCTGACGCATTACCCGAAGTGGGGCATAGGGTTGAACACCTCTAAACCCAATCAACACAAGAAACAAGATACCACTAGACATGCATATGACATCCTTAGCTAGAAACCAGTAATAATTCCATACTATTTCATTAGATGTGATCACCGAAAGTTTCTTTTCACACGCTATAATAATTCCTTTTGGAAAATCGATTTTTGCTTCTCTTTCCTTATGGGAGGAAACATAATTACACCAGTCTGGAGTGAACTTGGGTGCACG